GAGCCAGCTGCCTTCATTTTATGACTGTACACAAGACCTGTTGGGAGAGGACTGCAAAGTCAAACAGAATGTTTGCACAAGGTGTGCTCGATCCTCTTGTGCATCATAGTCATCACGGCTTTTTAGCAATGCGAAAAGACCGTGATATCAGAATTTTTTGTCCTTTTGGTGAACTAATCGATGCCACTGTCTAAAGAAATGGAAAAAAACTGTACTCGGAGTTTGTCAGTGAAAAAACGAGCCCTTTACAGTAAACTGAATCGAAGCGCGATTACATGTGGCGAATTCAAAAAACCGACATTACTTTTCTGCTTTTATCAACACTGCATTAATTCTTAGTCAGTGCTACGCTTATAAGTATTTTTAAGCAGTCTGCGCTGAAACAGTCATGCAGAAAGTATATTGCATATTCCCATCTGTCACACTGGCGCACCTGCTGCTCGTCGCTATAAATTTCTAACAGGCTAGAAAAGAAATGAAGATGACGAATTCCGAGTTACCAGTGTTAAAAATCCTCACATGGGTGCCAGTCTCTAGCTATGAAGTGCTAAAGTTCTCGTAATAAAAACACGCTCCTTCTCCACTTTCGCAACACATTCTTAATTTCACAGTGCAGCAAAATATTCAAAATTACGTCTTGACACGGAATTCTTCCGTATCTAGCGTTTTCCGCTGTTTCATTGCAAAAACCCTATTAATGATTGCTGTGACTGAAGTATAAGTCATCAAGGGCGAAGTTATGCCACGCTGTAGAAGAGCAAGCGTTCTCTGCATTATCCCCCAGCTGTAAATCCAGACGTAGTAGTGGATGTGCGGGTAGGAATGAAAATCAAACGGTGCGGCCATTTGAAGGGCACAAGCAAATTTACTGGCGAGACCGCAGTGCACTTTTATGATATAGTGGTCAGCCTGCCGATGAACACTGAATTTGATTCCGCAATTCGGTGAGAATAATCTCATTATAGTCTTTTATCCATATTTATGCACCTCCACCAACAGTTCTCAATGCCGCCCTTCGACTGCCATTATAAGTCATATGAAAAGTGCTAAAATTCAATCGAATGAGAGCTTCCAAAGGGGCACTGGACTGCCGGCACAAAAAGCGCGTAGGACCACGCTACTAAGCGACTTTAGACATAAAATATTCGGAAAAATTTATATTTCTGCAAGTAAACTTATTTTTTTGAAAAAATGCGTATTTTTTATGATTAAAGAAACACCTAATATTAAAGGACAGTTGCCACCACCGTCAGTGTAATGTAGACAGGGATGGTGTTCATCTAAAGCTTTATCAGTTCTAAGAAAAATATGATGAACTGAAAAAACTCGCAAAATTGGATGATGAAAATTTAAAAAACAAAAAATTTGATTAAGATAAACTGTTTCTCACGAATTTTAAAGAATATAGAGAAGATCCGCTAAATCTTACTTACACACACACACACACCCGTGCTCACAAATTTGGTACCAAAAAGTCCAGTGAAGATAATAACTAGGATGAAGATACTGGTTTCTGGTCTCTAGACATGACTGAATTTCATTTTCGGAGCACAAAAATATACAGTTCGTAGTAGTAAACTTGTCGTTTCCAAAAGTTACTCAGACTAAGAAACTGGCATTCCTTCACATGTGCACTGCACAAAGAAGTGTCTCTTCACTGAGCCTCGAGTAGATCTTCACCACTGCCAGACGGATGTTCCCTCCATGAACCAGCTGAAGAATGCTCCGCTTCACCGGCTCAGATCTTTGCAATCTGTAATTTTTCACTGTTAATCGTTTCCACTCTTATTCTCAAAGTAGTACATTCTGTGTCTGGTAGAGCACACGTGTTATGAAACGGTAATTTCGCTTTTGAAATTGCTAAAACTGCAATTCGAAGGTAGAATTGCAAAGGTTGTCGCTTGTAAAGGATGCAGATAGCACTGCCGTGTTGTTCTCAGGTGCAGAGGTTAATCAGAGTAGCAAGAATACCGGTTATCTTTGCGCAGATGTGCTCATTTTCTCTTGATTGACTTTGAATCGTCTCTTGACATTTTAGCGACAATCACAGACACTTTTATCACTAAATGCACTTTCCTTATCAAAATTTATTACTCATGCTATTTTCGACTCGAAAAATGCATTAAAAGTAAAGTTAGTTTGGTGAAAAGTCTCAAAATCGGCGCGTATGTAATGCATTGCGCACATGTCAAATGTATCTTGTAAATTTACTGAAACTTTTGTCAAACCCAAAATTAGCAGTTCGTGGAAAAACTGTTATAGCTCAGAAAGGAAAAACAGTAATTGCAGGAGGAGGAGAAGCAAGTGTGGATTATTTTGCCAAAGAGCTGTAAATTAGTGCAAGTAGAATCCGGAGTTTTGTGGATTATTTACTGTGACGGAAGTGAGTGACCTGAGGCTATCAAGCACGTATTGAATGCCCACGAAGAAATGTGCCTTTCGGCGATCGGACAAATTATATTTGGTGCTATAATGCTGGTGACACTTGCGCTTACAGCCGCATCCATGTTTTCACCTGGTACTTTTCGATTTCTATTTTGCTTGCTGGTGTGAATTTATCAGTTATTCTGAAATTTAATCTCGTAATATGTCACTGGAGTCATGGCAACCGTAAACTGCAGCTAGTCATCGACTTTTGATGGGGATTCCGACAAGTCCCGAGAATATCTTAGAATTGCATTATTTCATGACTTTGCCATTAAACAAAACAACTTTTTAGTATCGAGTGAATAAATTATTAGCAGTCTTTATAAAACTGTAATATGAATTATTAAAGTGTGTAATAGTTTATGCTATTGAGGCAATAAAAATGTGATGAAGAGATGGCGCCTTGTTCTATTACTACGACATGTGAAAATACTGGGGGCTAGGAGTGAGGACGTCCAGGTTATTTAGGAGGAATGGACGCATTTCCTGGAGTTATGGGTTTTTGGAAATTGTATATAACCCATGTGAGCAGAATATATTATGGGCACACTTTATTCTTCATAGAGTGCCTGATAAATGACAAACGACAATCGGGATAATAACAGTATAATCAATCGACTTGAAGCAAAACTCATTATCGGAATCAAGGAGAGAATGTTTTGTAAAAAGTTTGGTAATCTCCGGTGTGTTACGACTACGAAAACAGAGGGAGCCCAAAGTTGGTGGAGTGTACTTACGTACGCCGACTGAAGGGGGTTGTTTCTAAATTCGAGTTATTTTGGAACAAATGGAAAAACCCATTATGTTCTTTAATGATGTTCTGGCGGAAAAAAGCTTCTTAGAGATCCAGTGACTTCGAAAACATTTCGGAATGCAAACAGCACTTCGGCAAGAAGGCTGAAAACAAATAATCGAAAATCTCCGAAAAATCTAAATGAATTTCCCACTGTTTATCTATTTCCAAATTTTAGCAAAATGACAATTATCCGGTATTGAAATAATATGATTCCTCAGCCAGACTTTAAGTTGCTCAGTTCAGTGATAAAATTTTCGTGTTTTCCGACTCGCGCAGTTGTCAGCATTTCTGAATAAGATACCTGATCAACTGCTTTTCGCATCCAAACTTCCATCTTTCATGAGCGATTCTTTTGGAACTATGTTTGTCCTGCAAAATCATGTCGTTCCAGGCGGAGTTTAATTCTGGGACTTCCAAATCGGTCAGCTGTGCGCTGCGACAATAAACATCGCTGAGTTGACGAGACATTGTTTACTGATCATTTTAATCATTTTATGGAAGTTTTCAGGATGGCGAGAATTGACAAATTCAACGCAGACTTCAATAGATGATTTGAAAAACTTAAAAATCCCACAACAATTTGGATTATTCCCATTTCTGTGCAAAACTCCAACTGGTTCAAATAGTGGCGATGGTGCCGATCCAAATTCGGTTGATTTTTGCAAAAAGTGGTTTGAAGTAAGCGTTTCTGCTCAGTCTTGTGCTTTTTCCTCCTCATTTGATTGAGTTTCGCTAAATTTCACAGGAAAATTATTTTCGTTAAAAAAGTAAGCTAAAAAGCGTTGTTATTTGAGGACGCTCAGAAGCACTGAAAAACCAGAAGAGCATCAAATTCGAAATATATTGAAATAACATGTAAAGATACAGAATACAATTCATTTACTAGATGTCAAAAATAAATTTAAAAAAAGCTGTTTTAAAAAAAAATTTCTAGATCACACGTGGACCGAAACCCCTCGTGAAACTTCAACCTCCTATTCTGTCGGTTTCAGAAGTTGATTTCTCTCTAGCGCATTTTCAACTTCGATTTCTAGTATTCATACGTAATACGTAGAGGCAAGTGAGAGCAGCTTTTCCGTTGATGGAGGCCACACGTGGGCTGGAAATATTCTCACAAAATTTGGGCTTCTTGGCTTCTCGGGTTGCAGATTTGAAAGTGGGAGCTAAATTCGAGTAGAAACAAACACAGACATACAGACTTATACACAAACACTCGCACACACGCCGATAGCTTCTCGACAACGTGCGTTTTTGCTGCATTTTATCAACGGTGCAAAAGTGCGCGAAAACTTTTAAATAGCTCCTGAACTTTGAGTGGCTTCTGTTAACTGCTTTTTTGTCTATTTATAACTATGTTTTTCGCTGTTGCAGTTATTCTATTTTGGATGTACAACACGGATAGCATAATTTTCTGGAATAAATAGTGCATTCAAACATAAGCAAAATTGATCGAATTTTTCAGAATT